CCCCAAAACCCCAAAACCCCAAAACCCCAAAACCCCAAAACCCCAAAACCCCTTTTAATAACATTAAATAGAATATCTAAGATGCCAAGCGAATCAATTAAAGTTGCTATTAGATTCAGAGGTAACGAAGGAGATCAATCAAAAGCAAGCTGGGACTTTGAATCCGAGAATTCCATTAAGGCTGAAAACGGAAAGACAATGAGCTATGATATAGTCCTTGATCCTGATTGTGATCAGAAGTTGATGTACGAACTCTGTGCAAGGGATATTATTGCCCAGTTCACTTTAGGTTTCAATGCTACTATATTTGCTTATGGACAGAGTGGTTCAGGAAAGACATTCTCAATGCTTGGTCCTGATGATGTGGTGGATGCGATTAAGGAAGGGAGTGATAATGTTCCTGAAAAGGTACAGAAGTTATACGGGATTATTCCAAGAGCAGTATTCGATATCTTCACTTGGATCAATCTTGAGATGTCCAAGGACCACCAGACTGAGTTTGAAATTAAGGTGTTTTACTTTGAGATTTATAATGAGAGTCTGAATAATTTGTTAACCATGCCACCGCAGAAGAAGATGAAGATGAGAGAGATGAAGAATGGTAGTATTGTTGTACTGAACTGTGAGCCGAATTATGCGACTAGTCCAGAAGATATTTTTGAGTTGTTGAAGATTGGACAGATGAATAGAGCTGTAGCTGGTACGAATCAGAATGCAAGGAGTAGTAGAAGTCATACCATTTTTGTGCTGGATATTGAGCAGAAGAATAGTGATGGTTCAACCAAAAGTTCGAGACTCAATTTGGTAGATTTGGCAGGTAGTGAAAGGATCGACAAAACAGGAGCTACAGGGCAGACATTGAAAGAAGCACAGAAGATTAATCTTTCTCTGACAACTCTGGGTATGTGTATCAAGAGCCTTACTGAAGGTCAGAAGCATGTGCCATTCAGAGACTCTAAATTAACAATGTTTTTGAAACAATCATTGGGAGGAAATTCCAAAACTCTTCTGATTTGTACTGCTAGTGCTCTTGCAAGACATTACGAAGAATCATATCAAACCTGCAGATTTGCTAAGCGTGCTAAGAAAGTGAAGAATAAGGCTGTATCCAATGTCATGAGAAGCAGAGAAGAGCTTGAGACTATGATTAAGAAGCTGAAGTCTGAAGTAACTGCTCTTAAAAAGCAGCTAACAGATAATGGAATCAAGCCCAATGCTAAAGCTTATAAGACTTCAGCGGGAGAGGAGTCTAAAGGTGAAGAGGAAAAGAAAGAAGGAAGAGAGCCCTCAGAAAAGAGCGAAGGTAGTATTATTTCTTTCTGTTAATTAACGAATTCTATAGAAGATACTATTAGCACTTCTGCTAGTACAGAGATTGCTGCTGAACTTGAGATGAAGCTTGAAGAACTTCAAACAGCTTATGATAACTATAAAGACAACTCTCAGAAGAGAATCCTTGAGCTTGAAGATCTGATTGAGAAAGCTGAAGAGGAAAAGATAGATCTGGATAATTACAGAGAAAAAGATTTTGAAATCGAAGCTCTTGTCAGTACAGTTGATGAAAAAGAGGAAGAAATCTCAAAACTCCAACAAGAGAAAGACAAAGAGAAAGTATACTATGAAGCAAAGATTGCTGAGATAAACTCTTCTCTTAAGACAACTATTTCTGACTTCGAAGATCTCAAGTCTGACTATAAAGAACTTAAGGAACAGTTTGATCTAAAAACAAAGGAGTACACACAAGAAATTGAAGAATTAAAATCAGAAAAGAGCGTACTTGAGGAGAAGCACTCTAAGTTACTACAAAAGCTCTCAGATTCAGAAGGAAAGAGCTCTGGCAAGATTACAGAACTCGAGATTCTGAACCAAGAAATAGAGAGCAGAAGAACAACATTGGGTGAGTTTTCTAGTCTAGATTCATACGCAACAGTTTCACTTTCATAATTCTAACAGAAATTTAGAAAATGATAAGAAAGAATTAGAGTCGAGGATTGAGCTTAAGCAGAAAGAGATTGATAGTCTTAATGACAAGGTTGGTAAAGCTACAGTGGAAAAGTCAGAGATCAACACTAAGCTCGAAGCAGAACTAGAGAATAGTAGAAACTTGAAGAAGGAAAGAGATACTATTGCTAAAGATCTTGAGGAGCTCAAGAGTTCCTCCACCAAAAAGCAAACAGAGCTTCAAGGGGATATTACTAAACTAGAAAGTGAAAAAGAGAGCCTCCTTGCAAAGATTTTAGAGGTTGAGAAAGAAAGAGATACTTTAGACAACTGTGTGAAAGAAAACTCAGATACTAAAGAATTATTGGAAGAGAAAGATCAAATGATCAAAGCTCTTAAAGATAGCATTTCTGTTAAAGTGCAACAGGCAGAGGAAGTAAAGGATGCAGAAATAGATACACTTAAGCAACAAATCGATGAGGCTGATGGTGAGACAGAGAAAGTCAAGGCTTCTCTTGGAGATCTACAAGAACAAATGGAGCAAGATCTCCAGAAGAAGGATGCTCAAATTAAAGAAACTGAGGCTATTAAAGATAGTATCAAAGAAGAATTAGACAAGAAGGAACATGAGGTATTTAAGCTCTCTGAAGAAAATCAGTCTCTCAATTCTAAGATAGAATCTGAACAGCAGACTACTAAAAGTAAGGAAGAGCTAATCCAGAGTCTGAAGGAAAGACTAGAAGTCACTCAAGATACTGTACAAGATCTTGAGAAGAGAAATAAAAATCTAGAAGAAGCAAGCCAACAAGACTCTGAAGATATAAATAAGGAGCTCACCATTTTTAAAGCAGATAATGAGGTTTTAAAGGAGAAGATATCCAACCTTGAAAAAGAGAGATCTAAAGAAACTGAGAGAAACACTACCAAACTAGAAACTGCTAGAGAAGAGCTCAAAGAGAAGTCAGAGCAGACTGCTAAGCTTGAAGCTGAGAATGTGGAAATCAAGAGGCAGAATCAAGAGCTCACTGAGAAGGTAGATGAACTGAAAAGAAAGATCAATGATCTTAAAGTAAAAACAGATAGAGAAGTCAGACTCTCAACTATTGCAATGATGAATCTTCAAAAAGCCAAGAAAGTCCCAAGAAAGATAGTCGAAGGGGCAGATGAGGATGCTGAAGAAGTTGATGAGGGCATAATCAGTGGTCCATTCACTAGAAAATCAACTATCGTTAGAAAGAAGATTAAATTTAACGACCAAGTTATTGATCCTTCCATTTTGAATAAAGAGGACTGGCAACTAACTGCTGCTGAGAAGTATCAGAAATCTATCGCTCAACACTATAAGAATCAGAAGATACAGGAGAGTAGAAGAAAAGGAATGAATTATAGAGATGCGAACATGGAAGATTATGGAAATGACATTATTGATGCAGACGATTTTGATAACAGCGATGGTGACGAAGGAGTTTTCACTGGATAATCCCTCAGAAAGTAGAATTAAACCATTTGTTATACACTTGCCAATATTTCTCAGTAAATCCGGGGTTTTGGGGTTTTGGGGTTTTGGGGTTTTGGGG